GTTTCATGTTATAAAGAGAGTTTATGAGCTATGAACATTTCATTAAATATGTCACTACATTTCGACACACAGGTGAAATAGTGTTAACCATTTAAAACAACTTAGGGTTCGGGTACGTTTCAAGCAATGCACTGTTTGAGGTCTAGCAATGTTTAAGCTTATTTTAGGTTTGGGAACGCCATTGGTCATGGTTAGAAGAGACCGACCTTTGCCTGAAAATGAAAACTTCTTTCAGTAAAATACTTCCTGGAAAGGCTGTGTATTGAATCAAAGAGCAGAGTTTGAGGCCGATGTAAACATCCATCCATCAACCCAACCGCAACCACAACTTTACTTTCCATCCTAGTGTTTCTGTGTCAAATCAGAAAGAAATGTGCCTCTGGGCTCTCATGCTCGGTTTCAAGATAGCATTAATCAAAATTTCAGAGGACGATGCTCATCCGTATTTATGCTGCACACGTGATATGAGAGCCTGGATCAACATGTTGTTGATAAAACCCCTGTGCCAAATAAATAATCAAAACCTTCCTGCTTCAAATAAACAATGAAATTGGCAAATTAACCTTGTTACCGTTCTGTGTTTCTTCTTGTAGTTGTTTTAGGATTTTTTTTGTGATGGCTTTGCCCATTTTCTTAGGCATTACGAGTACCTGTTTGGCATGTTTAGAGGTGGTTTTGGTCTCTTTTTCAAAGTATTAAATTTAGCAGGGGGCTCTTACAGCAGCATCTTGCTATTTCCACACCATCGTACAGTATGAAGAGACTTTTTTCAAATTCCAGCCTTGATTGTTACAAATTGCTTGTGCGAATAGTGAATAAAAGTGTGGGATTGGCATGTAAGGAGATCTTCCCTTTGGGTAGATCGGGTAAGATTGCCAGACAGATGTGAAGAGATCCATCACAAGCACATACCCACATGCACGTACTCAGCTGATACTTTAAAGGGCGAACTGATATAAATGCTCGCCACTGTGGACTCTCTGAGGAACGTTTCGATGTTTGTGCGTGACGCAAGTGTTTCCTCTGGAAATGTGCTTTCAGTTCAAAAAGCATAACCAGCTGTTTTTTGTCACCATGTGAGAGCGGTCTTTTATCTTTTCTTTTGACTGTGTAACAGACCAATCTTGATTTATTTTTTTTACCTCTGGACTCTGCTTCCTGAACACAGTGTGTTCTTAGATCGTCTCCATCTGCCTAATACGTCACCAACCACCAGAGGCGAGTCGGGGTTTCAAGGGATGCAACAGCACCCGACTGAGATCTAGGCCACTCGTATGCGCAAACAAATGAAGAATGACCGTATATTTCTTATGGTTACGATAAATATTTTTATATCCCAGCATAAGCGGCAATTTATCATTGATTTGATGCGCCGTCCATCAATCATGCTAAGTGACCCAAATCCAGTAATTTGGTTCACAGCCAGGACAGATATGATGTTGGTTCGCTAGTGGTGGCAAGAGAAGAGTATGGTTTTCTTTCATTTGTTTTTCACATCAATCTTAACAAGTAAAAAGGTGTAAATCATCTTTTGGGAGAAATAGACCTTTGAATTGGAACGTGGGAAGTGAACGTTTGGTTCTGACTGCAATGAGCAGGTCCATCCACAGTTGGTAAGTTCTGTAGAGTTCAGTGCATCAGGCGGACCTAGGTCCTACACAAGAGGCTACATACACATATATTCTATGAACTTTTGTGTCTACTTTGCAATGCATACACTTAAGTTTACTGTACTATCCTTGTATTTAACTGTCAATATAATTTACTTATATATTTCTTCGTGTTTTTTTAATGTTTTAGATAAATTCAACTGCTGACAAGACCAGGTTCGTCCATGTCCGATTCCCCAGTAAAATCCCATGAAACACGGGCAGCAGTTGTTTCCTCAGCTGTAACTGGGATAACTGTGACATTCACGCTCTACAGTAAATGAATGCGGTGCAGAGAACACGTTAGGTCAGCGTTTAATGGGGTGAAGGATTGGTCACTGGCACACATGTGGCAACGTTATGCATGAATGGTACCACTTTCGTAAATGTTGTGGTGTGTTTACTAATATGGAGTCAAACCTTCAATCCAGGAGTGTGAATCACTTTCTTAATTAGAGAACAAAATCCGAACCACATGTAAGCAATTAGCCTTCATGGTAGCAGGGTTGATCCCGTGGGGGGCGGATTGGACACGAAGTAGGGATGCTGCACTACCAGTGAAAGACCAACGCATTCAAAGGACGATTAGCAACTGATGGTACACAAACAAGTTGATTTTGACATATTTAAAAAGAAAAATCCGAAAAATGTAGCAAGTAGAGAACAGCTGTTTCCAAGAGTTGTTAAGATTTCTAGACGACATTGAAGAATATTCTCTGCGTTAACATCAAAAGTTTTTTTTTTCTTGTTGTTTTTAAAAGAAATTCATCGAGCCACGCGTCAACATATTTGTGTTTGTGGACCTTCTCAATAATATAATCAAACAAAAAGAAGATACTAAAACAATGAATCTATATCTATATGTAATACAGGTATATGCTTCTGGATCTGAAAAAACGTACAAACTGTCACAAAATACCGAAGGAGACATATTGATGGCATATTGTAGAGAATCAGCATCACAGTAACATCTGCGCATGAACAAACTGTGTCAACTGCATCAGAAGGAACATATTGGTGGATACATCAGAGATAATCTCATTCATAAAATGTTTAAAAATAAAAAACAAGACAGGTCCAAAATATGGATCCCACGATTCGCAACCTGTAGAAATTCTACTTTGATCCCTTTACCTTCACACACCAGTTGATTGGCCATGGAATCAGTTCCAAGCATCCCGACCAAGGCCGACACAGGCTCATCTTTGCAAAAGCAAGGGGTGATCGACAGATTCAAATGCTTTTGATTAATCTATTTAAATTAGGGCTGGTAATTAAACCAGTAATTAAGACATTCAATTCAGTTCATTCTTCAGTGTTCTGAGGGGAATGCCATCGACAACCAAAATGATGTGATAAACCCCCTTTTACACTACATGCCAAAGCTATATGAATATCCCCTAGTTGGTTTAATGTCACTGTTTTCCACCTCGTGAAACTAATACAATGAATGTAAAACCATGCTGTTGGCTTTGGTGGTTTCTTTCAAACTGTAATTGAACACGCCATAACCTGACAGTTATTGTAAGCTAAACCAAAAACGATAAAAGACCCCTCGTACAGAAACACACAGCTTTCAACATCTACAAATTCCTCCGCAGAAGTGATATAGACTTTGAAGATTTGAGCAAACAGTGGTTGGAGCCAAAGAAAACCTCTGACAGACTCACTGTTACCAATTGTGTGAGGCATGAAAGATTTTCACCTCTGTGTGTGTTGTTCAAAAATGCTTTTTGTTAAAATAACCCAAAAGAAACAGACTTGAACAGATCTGATTGATGAATATGGCCTTGTAACAGCGTTTTATCATCTATATATTTTATATCTTTCTTTTAGATTACAGCAACTGCAAAAGTTTAAAGAATTTACAACCAGCCAATACTGTGTGTACTTGAAAAACTTTACAAATAACAGTATAAAAGGCCTACCACCATAAAATCAACTTAACTGTCCTCCTAAAAATGTATGCTTTTCGATTAATAGTCTTGATAACATCGCCTCTTCCCTGTTCTTTTGAGAAGAGAGCACACGAATGCCCGCAAGGATCTGCCGTACTAATGGAGAGCTTCAGACGTCCCAGGAAGCATAACTCCTGCATAAGGGAATGTTTGTTTGCGCCAAGACATTTCCTTACTTACTTGCTCTTTGTTCGTAGCTCTCTCGCTTGTCTTTCTCTGCTTTCTTCTCTTATCATGTCTCATTCTTTCACATTATATCTCAGTCTTATTTCTCGTTTTCTGCCCCCCACCCATCGTCTTTTCTTCCTCCCTTTGAGACCTCCAAAACCTCGGATCTAGTGTTCAAACCGCACGGTGCAATTATGCAAGAATCTGTGTGCATGCATTTTGGTTTTTTTGTGCACGGACAATTTTAGTGTTGTATGCGCTTGTGGGCATGCGTGCATTTAATATATAACTGAGTGTGTGTGTGTGTGTGTGTGTGTGTGTGTGTGTGTGTGTGTGTGTGTGTGCAATATGCATGTGTGAGTGTGATCCTCTTCCACTAAATGGTTTGTAGTCTGGAGGAAGGGTAAAAGAAAGGTGGAGGCTGAGAGGTGACATCCCTTGTCGTTTAGACAAAATATCCAGCATGTCGTAGTCAACTCATTGTCCTCCTGACCACACGTAATATGTTTAATTGTGCAAGCTGCACTCTTAAAGCAACATATTTGACCTGTTCTCCATCAAGTAAGGCCTCACAGTGCAAAAACACATGGAGCCCAACAACGTGAGAGTCAAATATCTTTGTTTTAGTGCTCAGTATTTGTTTTTGTTGCCTGTCTTGCTGTGACCTTAAAGTTCGTATGACACCGAGATTCACGAATCAATTTAGTTGTTGTTAGTGCTGTTACTGCTGTAGGACTGTTCTGTAAACATCCAAAAGAAAAGTAATTTGACCATGTGACCAAGCTGTTGGAATATTCTGGAGCAGTATTCAGTGCACATACTGTATTTAAGCACACCCAAATGTAATGGTGAGTATTATGAAGATATACAAATATAAGGTGTCATTTTTTACCCCCCCCCCCCTCTTTGTCATCAGAAGTACTGCTCTTAAAAGTCGGGATTCTGTTTTATTGGAATATGATCAAACATGAAAAATGTAAACTAATACATTAAATTGTATTTGTCCACTCAGCTATTCTCTATTCTTCTCACAATATGTAAATGATGCAAAGTCACATTTAATCACATACCGTTTACAAATCGAGGGGCAAGACATACAAGAATGCCGTTCTCTGTTTAGTGTTGTTTGACATATTAACAAGTAACTGATAAGAGTCTTATCATAAGACTATAAACAAGTGTGTGCGTGTGTTCTTGAACAGCACATCTCTGTTTGGAACCTCTCTGCAGTGTGTTTGCTCATTAGCGTTGCATGCTCTGGTCTCACAGTTAAGTCCGTCCATTGAGGGATAGCACAGCGGTACATGAGATACCAGCATTTTCTTCAGTGGTTGCCGATGATTGGGAGATGATGGTGCTGTTGCTGCTCTTTGTGTTTGCGGCTGTGCTCGACTGCGTCGCTCCCTCTACAGAAGTCTGCAACAATAACTTCCTACCCGGAGCCAAAGGCAAGGCATGTCCTCGAATGAGCTGGTAGTTGTGTGTGACAGTTTGTGTTTAAACCTGACTGACTAAACGTGGAATATATATATTTTTAATATGTTCTCTCTGGGTGGTTGGGTGCTCACAATCTTAGCTGTTGTATGTTCAAACTGTAGAGTTAAGACAAGTTTTGGGCTTCGTAGTGAAGTATAACAGAAGTTTCAATAAAAATGTCTTGTAAATTTAATTATCTGTATGTGCGTCAGGTAGCAAGCATGTAATGTCCTGCAGTTTATTAGCTAGCAGTTTGCCGCCCATTCGTCTTTTGGAGGGAATGCCTCCTTGTTTTACGACATCCAGTAGCTTGTTCCCCTGCTGATTCAGACAGACAGACCTAATAAAATACAAACTTAAGCAAAGCACCATGTCTTTTAGCGCCATTTACGATACTGGAAAACAAGACGTAAGATTTTACTCCAGCATCCAAAGGGCAGAATTTGGGAATTGTAGATGTGTCAAGTGAAAAGCAAAAGAATAATCTTGAATATTGTAAAATTTATATTTGTTTCCTTTTCATGGTTTTACAAGAGCTTATTAATTGAACTATGAAATCAAATGGCAGCATGGCTGAAGTGAATAGTCAGCAGTAACATCATATACAGTCAGAAGGAACCGAGGATTCACTTTGTCAGTTTTCTGTACTTGTAAGAAAGTTCCAATGTGACAGAGTGTATTTAGACAGCTGCCACTAACTGATTATTTGTTCAAGCCTCACGGCTGTGTATTCCAGTGGGTGTCGGACGTGCATCATTCCCCGAAAAACCTCCATACTAGTTTTATTTATTTTCACTTTTCCAACAAAGACACTTTTATTGCGTTTACTGGAATTTTGACTTCAGCATTTTTAAATAGATTTACCAACGTTTCCTTTTTCCTTTTTTTTTATTGTTATGTCAGTCTGTTTTAGGTGATGTGAGAAACTGAATTGTTTTTTTCAAGGTATCAAATCTCTGTCTGATTTGATACCTTTATCACACAAGCAACGCCTGTTAGTTCTACTCCACATGCATTTTAGTTCAGTTGTCCACATAAAGAAAACAATGTATTACCTGCAGGGACACTTGAAATTACAATAATTTAGGTTACTTGAAGATGTTTGTACAGCCTGCCGAATTAAATAATACATTTCTTTAGTACTCAAGTGAGTTTGCGCTTTTGAAAATGATATTGACTTGGATCATAGTCTGTGGAAAATGAATAGTCAAAACAATTTAAAAACATCCCAACATGTTTCAAGTACATTTACAATAGAAGTGCACCTAAATCCATTAGTAAATCCCAAACACTCATCACCGTGGGGTTTTCTCTAGTAGTTTTCTCGGGCAGCTGTGAGCTTTGCTAATGTAGTATCATGCTGTGATGGCTAGCGATCTGCCAGCATGGCCTCTAAAAGGCCCCTCTTCTGAACAGGGCTGTATGTGTGAAACGTAATGGGAGGCAGTCTGCATTTTAACTTTCATCTTCACTGTCTTTTTTTTTCTATTAATACAGGAGACCAAGGTCAGATTGGAGAGGAGGGAGATCAGGGAAAACTGGGAAAGAATGGACCACCGGGACTTTCAGGTATCAAACGCCTTTTTTTATTTTCAAACCAGTCTTCAGCCCCAACTAATTACTTAGACTTAAATTACTTTTGTACCACAAAGAAAGTAGTTATTTTCCAAAAACAAGTGTGGTATATCCAAATGTCTGCAGTGGAAAATAATAATAAACTATAGGTTCTGTTTTTACTAAAATGTGTGCAACATGTAACAAGGCTAAAAAAGACAACTGCAAGGAGAATGAGGACAGTAAAAGTAATGGCTGATTAAGGCCTCATTTCACTCCTATGTTTTCACAGAAGCGTAAAGTCCGACTTTCCCCCCGTCTGCGACTCAGAAATAAAACGTAAATTGCTGCTGTAACCCGATCAAACTATCATGTCTTACTTTTGGTGCCGTGAGCTTCCAGACAGCCTGCGAGAGACTTTTCCCTGGCAGCAGCGTTTGCTGTTTCCCGCTTTCCTTTGCAGGGCGGCAGATACGGAGGCTTGCTCAGCTGCGTGCGCGACACACACACGGACACACACATGGACACACACACGGACCCGCAGCGCTGTGCGTCTGCGGAGGAAGCAGACTTGTTAATTGCTGCTGAGGAAAGCAGTGGCGTCCCCGCTTTGCCATATGTGATCCAACTGGGCTGGCAGATGAGCCAGCCAATCAACCAGCCACACGATACACATGTCTGTACACGTACACAAACACACGCACGCACACACTAAGGCAAACGGACAATGAACTATAGGCACGCATAAACACACACACAATACGTCATAGTAAATACACACCACATGAAAGCAATGGTTCCTGGCTGCACTTTTGCTCTCTGCAGATGTTTGTTTATATGGCTTCACACAGAGGTCCTCACGTACACACACACACACACACACACACACACGGAAAGACACATCCACACTCCACAACAACAAAGGCCGAGGGTGCTTCAGTCTTTACCAAAAGTGTAAAGAGGAAGGAAGTCTGTAGTCTATATATATGAGAACCTTTTTCAACTTTTGAAGCAACGCGATCCTTATGGTTTGTTAGTGTTTACGCTCTCTGTCGGATGAACGCAGCCTCGTGGCTTTGTAACTGCAGTTTGCCGACAGCTCAACAGATGTCGCATGTATTCCCCCTCTCACGTAAAGAGAGGCCGTTTTACAGGAAGCCGTTTATTTTGGAATGTTAAAAGGGAATTCATGATCAAATGGTTATTTTTTAACGTCAACAAAGCACATTTCTGTATACATGCTGCTATGGTTTATCGGTGTTGCATAGAGTTATGTAAGGATCTTAATTGTTGGGAAGAAACTGTTGCGGCGGCGAGCAATGAAGCATGTGTATCTTTTGTTATCTTTGAGCAAATAAAGTGTAACGAATGATCGGGTTAACATCTCAGCCGCTTGTATTTTTGTTATATTAACCCTTGAAAACATAGTCGGTTAGATTTTGGAAATAGCCTGCCCTAATGATAAGAATGAAAACTGTGACCTTCACCTCCTTTATCCTTCAGCAGCTGGAGAATCGCAACGTTAAACCGGTTGGAGGTGTTGGCCATTATATTGAAAGACTGCAGTGATAGGGAGAACTGTTATCTAGACGGTTTAACTGACAAGCAGAATCACAGCAGCTTCTACAGACACACAAGGAATAACAGGAGACCAATAGATTTTATTGTTGCACATGTAGCAAAAAACGGACACCTACAATCACGGTTCTAAATCCCTAACTGTAAAATATTGACTTTGAGATGATTCTTCTCAGGCATTCACACTTAATAAAACTCCAAAAAATTGCACGCACAGTGGAGAGCAAGATTTTCCCATCGAGTTTCAGACCAGACCTCACACAATATATAAAAACTCACACCTTCAGCCAACACTTCTCACAAATCATCAAGTAGAAAATCCACACGAGAAAGGGGGAAATGGGAAATAGTAGTGAATATCTGACTCTGTGTGTGTGTGTGTGTGTGTGTGTGTGTGTGTGTGTGTGTGTGTGTGTGTGTGTGTGTGTGTGTGTGTTTGTGTGTGTGTGTGTGTGTGTGTGTGTGTGTGTGTGTGTGTGTGTGTAGCGAAACCCTCTCATGTGTCCCTTAGTATATTGAGCCCTCAATTTTGGGTTGAATTGTTTCCTGAGGAAATACTCATTCAAGGGTTGGCAGAAAGCCCCAGTCTGCTTTGTTCTTTTCCCACGCACGCACGCTACACACACACATACATACAAACACACACACACACACTCACACACAAACGCACAATCTCTCTCACACCTTATGGGCTGATATTTTTTCTTAACACCTCACCAAAAAGGCCTTAAAAGGACGGCGGTGGAACAGTTGACAGCAATTACAATACAGAGGGAAACTGTAATTTGTCATTGTGTCAACAAAAGATAATACAGAGTGTGGCTGCTTGCAAATAACTTGATAGTTTCTAATCGTACTCTGTGCGCCAGGTCATTGTTGATGACATACTTTATAAACTAAACAAAGAAACAGAAATTAACAAAATCCCATGAACAAATAATAAATGAATGCATTTACTCTGTTTATTACATGTTAAAGGTTCACCCTCACTATCTTCAATCCACAAGCAGCCTCTCAACACAAAACACCTAAATCTGTGCCCGAAATAAATCATTTTACCTCTGTAATTTATTCACTGCCATAATAATAGCAATAGCGGAATCAGTTTGAACCCAACTATGCAGGGATTGTTGGTTAGGGGTGAAATCAATAAAATAATGAAATAAGAGCTGATGAAAAACATTCAGGACAAATATACGTGAAAAATATGTGAACCGTTGATTATGTAAGATGTAATCCTTGCAGTAAAGGGCCGTAAAAGATATAATGAAGGTATTTCACAGTGAAACCATTCTCTTGATTATATGTTACATTGTGTGTACTCCCCATTCCTGGATATTATTCCCTCTGTTGGTCCTAATCTAAAACTTTACTGATAAAATGTGTTTATCGTGGCCCCTGGATTTTCTAAATATAATCTTCCTCCTCTCTCCCCTCCATCTTGTGTTTCTTTCTCTTCTTCCTCAGGAGTGTCAGGGGAGACGGGGCTTAAAGGAGAGGTGGGCCACACAGGAAAGATGGGTCCCATTGGAGACAAAGGTACACAACATGTTTTCTATGTAGAAACTGTTCCTTCTTTGGTCTCTACTTGTCTATCATTGACTCTTTCTTTGTAGTTAGTCCCTTACAATACTACTACTATACGCATATACTGTACCTTATGGATACAAACAGATTGTACACACCAAGTGTAAAACCTCCAATATGCTCAGTGCCCTGTGAAAAAATTGATTTACGAAATAAGAAAAAGATTGCTGGACTTTAATACTGTCCAGTCTACAAATGCATTCCTCTTATAGTGCAAAGACACTTTTTCAACTCGCCTGCAGTTGTTGTAGCTGTGAGCTTTCTACAATAAAAACTTTATTAATCTCTTAAAGGACAAATATATTTCCTGAGCTCCTCCTCAGCCCTGACTGCAGCTCCATCCCCATCGACTCAAAACATTAAAATAAGTAGAACAGACATCAGCAAATTTAATTAGTCCCATGACTAATACACACGAGGAGATATTTTCCCAATTTCTTTGATGTTTTAGATCACATCCAAAGATAGATGAAAACATAATCCGGTAGTATGAGGTCATCCGGCTGCTTTGTCCAGGGAGGTGGAAACTATTTAAATCTTTTTTTTATGAGCAGTCGTGTTCCTCTGCCTCTTCGGGCATTCACATTTCTCAGTATTCATTACGTTTGATACACTTACTGGAAAGTGGCTGTGCATTTGCCATCTCAGGCAAAAGGGTGAGGTCACAGGTTTGGATTTTCCTTGATCTTGAGCTCGTAAAATACCTACAGCAAATAGAAGGAAAAACTATTTTGAGGGGTGATATGGGTTCTAGCAGAAACTGAAATGCAGCTATTTTTTTACTGAATTGTTGTGTAACACGGCTCACATAAAGAAAGCTCTTTGGATTTTCATGGATATATTTGCAAAAACGTTATGTTTATTTTACGAATATGATAAATGAGAGAGTATACATTGTATGTGCTATAATTCTTTGCATATGTCATCCTGTTATTAGTGAGTTTAAAGGGCTTACATTTTGCTTGGGCAAAAAAAACTACTATCTGAAGCTATACAACAATGTGGATTGTGGAAAACCAACATGTTTGTGTGCTGCATGCTGCAGACGTGGCATTTACATACTATACTGGAACCTTTATAATAAGACATTGTACAGCTCCTCATATAAAACCACCCAATTGCTATGTTAATTAATTTAGTAATGCAAGTATAATCTTGATTTTATGTACATGAATATCTACAATTTACAAATATATTTATATCTAAAAAAAATATGTTGTCATCTCAAATCTATTTGGAGCAGTCATATCTGAGTCACAATATGCAATAATTTGACCTAAGTAGACCTTTATATCTTTGTGCGGCCATGTTTCATGTATGATACAGCCATCTGGTGGTAATGTGCTGTAACTGCCTCCCAATATCCCATAACACAATAAGCTATCACTATTATCAGTAGAAAGATTGGTGAGAGAACTCTGAAATATATTTATATTTTATGTGATTAAATACAAGCAAATTTAAACTGCTAGTTTAAATGGTCTCACATGTGATTTATCTTGCTCTGTAGGTTGCAAAGGTGATACTGGTTTGGAAGGGCCCACTGGTTTAAAGGGAAAAACAGGTGAGTAAATCATGCAGACATTGCTTTTTCCATATTCTATGTATGGAAGAAAAAAAACATCTGTCACCTCTGGGCTCGTCAGGATGATGTAACATCATATTTGACTTATCGTCATAAAGAAAGAGTTCCCTATAGAATTACATTGGACATTATTTCTATTACAGAAATTAAGTATAAAAGATGTAAATACAGCTTGGCTTTTCTTGGTTATTTGGGCCATGTACTCCACCCACTGTGGAGTTTAAATCAAATAATAACAACAATGTTTAGGGTCTGGCTTTGAGCTTTAAATAATAGTAGTTCCCCTAATATTCCAAACATGTAGAAGGACAATTACATTAAATATTCAGATTGGACCAAGCGAGAAGATGACGGCTGCAGGACAAACTTGGCAGAGCTTCACCAGGCACAATACCAAATATCGATGTGCGTTGGTCACAGACATTTTAATTAAAACATATAGAATCAGAATCAACACTTATTGCCAAAATATGTTAGACATACAAGGAATTTGACTTGGCGGTTGGTGCATAAAATCACACAGTAAGACAATGGACAACAAGACACCTAATTCTAACAACCTAAGGCTATAATGGAGGAGGCACTCGCCACACGGCGGACCTTGTCTGCACCGAGGGACTGAGAAGGCTTGGGCTCACAAACAGCAAAGAAAGCACACAACAAAGTCAACGCAATGTTATTCACTCATTTAAAGTGGGACAGTTTTGTTACAGTCATAAACCAGGAAGGTAATGCTATTACACCCTGTACACACTCAATTAATCGTTTGCTGGGTTTTGCTTACCAACAGGCACAACATGTGACTGTGGCAGATACAGGAAGGTGGTTGGACAGCTGGACATCAATGTAGGCAAGCTGAGGAATGCTGTTAAGTTTCTGAAGAAGGGTGAGTGCTGAGTATAATTCATGGTTTAGCACAAACTAGCATACTCCAAATTGTGATCATTTGGAAGATAAAGATAAAAGGGAAAGCTATGTTGGTGGATATTCTTTATATAATTGTGTTCCTTACAGCCCATTACCTTCCCTTATGTTGATGTTATTTGTAATATACAAGCCCAGTAAATCTGTTTTTATTACGGTCTCTGGACTTTGACAAGGAGTCTTTTTTCTTGTTGTTACTGATCTAAGAAGCATAGTGGAACTGCAATTTAAATTTGCATAAAAATACATCCTTATTTTATTTTATGATGCCATGTCAATGCCCCGACAATTATGGGGCCTATTCTCTCCAATGAAAACCATTTAGTAGATTAGCATGTAAATCCAGTACATGTACCTCTCCTGTCCAGTCATCTTGGGGCTGAAAGAAACAGAAGAGAGTTACTACCTGCTGGTGAAGGAGTCAAAGAGGTTCACAGAGGCTGCAATGAACTGCAAGTGGAGAGGAGGCACCCTGGCCATGCCGAAAACCAGCAACACCAACCAACTAATGGCAGACTATGTCACTCAGGCAGGACTGACAAGAGTTTATATAGGGTTGCAGGCTCAAAGCAAGGATACGGTAAGAAGTCCCAATCAGATACTCTCACACACACACACACGCAGGCCAGCAGGGGGCGTGTCCAATTTTCGTCTTGTTTCTTCTTTTGACACGGTTTTCTGAAGAGGGGGTGAATACTGTATTTAGGGCTTCACTCTCCTGAAACCTTTTTGATGAAAATTATTTCTCTCTTTTTTTTCGTCAGAATGGAACGAGCAATTATGTGTACGCAGACTCCAGCCCTCTGCAGGGGTTTGCAGCTTGGAGCCAAGAAGGGGAGCTCAACTCCGGAGTATCTCCCACCACAAACTCCAGCTGTGTGGAGCTGCTCAGCACTGGGGCATGGAGTCATGTCGTGTGTGAAGCCACCATGTTTTTCATCTGCGAGTTCCCAAAGAGCAGGAGAGGAGGAAGAAGAGGAGGAAGAGGAGCCCGATCATGAATCAATCAAGACATTCAAAAGAGATTGAAGTGCACATAATGTGTAGATGTAGCATTTATATAATCATAAACATTACAATCAGTCCTTTCGTAACACTTACCCATATATATTCTCAATTGATATGCACATGTTTTCTTGATTACCTGATTCATCTTTGATCTCAATGTATTGAAGAACAAGCTGACACGTTCAAATGACTTGTTTTGTTCCTGTTTTGTAACCAGCAAATATTAACATTTGATGAAGTAGAACCATTTCATGTTTAACCGTTATTGTTGCAGTTTGATAATCTGTTGATATTCTTGACGACTCTATAAAGCCATTTTCAAAAAAGAGCATTTTATATTCTCAGTATGAGCACAAACACGAACAGCACAGAAAAGCCTTGCTTGGATCAGCAGGAGCCTGCAGGATGCAGAGTCGCTGCTGATCTCAGCCTCTTCTGTTTTTCTTTCTGTGCCATTGAGTGTCTATATAAATACAGTATGTGCACACATTACATTTTCTCCCATTTTGGCGTTTGGCAACTCCTCTTTATCAGTATTCTCATTGATCTGCTTGGGCAGCCTTTTTCCACAGATGTTTGTGGATTTCTGAATATTTTAAACCATGCATAAAAAGATTGTTTAACCTGTAGTGTATACATATTTGTGGGAAGTAATACATGTAGTTTGAGATGGAAGCAGAATGGTTTGTGTGCCAATACCTGTCGGCTAGGCTCATACATCCACAGCGGCAAGTGGTACTTAAGTACTAAGTTACAGTAATCACAACACCAATATCATTTCTTTGAATAAAATGTATTTTACCTGTTAAGCAAAACCTCATTCAGACAAGAAATAAGAAAAGTTCCACTAAAGGTGACGGTCAAATGAGAAATGCAACAGGAACTTGAAATCTTGATCCATGAGCATCCATCTGTTCACACGTTAAATATGAAACAACTATTCTGTGTATTTATATGAAGAAATGAAACAGAAACAGAAGAAACAGGAGGAACTATTATAGGTTAACTGATATTAAACATTTCCCACGTGTTGCAATCATTCTGCTGTCTATTTCTATGAAATGTTTCCTCTTTTAGTGCTGCTGATGTTGCCTTTTTCATCAGGAAATTACATTTACACAGGAAATTAGAACAGTTTTTTTAGCATTTTGCACCTTTTTTGTATCATCATGATACACTTCACTAAAACACTTCATATTTTTGATTCATTTAAATCAACTTCGGTATCAATTACATGTACGATGTGTAAAAATGAACATTGCGGCGGTTAAAATATGTGTGATTATTCTTGCATTGTTTTTTGGTGATTTTGTGAATAACAAAGTGTCCCATCTGCCCAAACCAACCGAATGTCTTTCCAGGTGCTGCACTGCTTTGTTGTGTACAATTTGTTAATACATGTTTGCTATGGAGTGAATATGGGAGGACATTGTAACAACTTCCATTCACATTCAATATCATGAATGCAATGAATCAATGCTATATTCTTATTGTTTGTTATGACCTTCAACATTAAGAATCTGGACAAAAACATTGGTCCATACAGTCATATGTTTTATATAAATGAATTTATGCCCTAATCTGTAAACCTGGAAGATTACATGGCATCGATGCTTGCTCATAACATCCTGTTATTTTACACAGGAACTAAGTTGTGGGTTAAAATACACGGCTACTGTACACTGATTCACAATTACAGACACAAAGCTGTAGACTGAATGGTAAATGTAAACGAATCTGCAGTTATATTAACAAACGATTAAAATGTATGTACACAAAGACTTGACATATCCACTACAACTCATAACGAATATGAAAGAAATCCCAAGGTTCTGCTGACTCAAACAGATGGGGTTTCACATACCGAGCATATCTTCCCCAAAAGTCTTTATTTGCAGTCTCAGCAAATCATAGAGAATAAAAAGAAACTGACTCAAACACGGACCACAAATTGAGAAGATGTCTGTGACAATGAGGAGCAAGTCGGGGGACGATGGGGATGACAGCGTAAACCTCATGGCTTCTGTCAATAGAACAAACAACGGACGCCGACCTGATACGTCAGGTAAGACCAAACATTAAAACCATAATTGCTGCCAATACACAGCACAACATTCACTGTAAGAGAAATAGCTGCAGTAGCTATAAAATGGCTATATGTGCATAATGAAATGCGGATAGGGAGAAAGTACTGCTAATTAAACAATTCAGATAGATTATGCATCTGCGGTGCTCGTCGATGATTTTTCATTACCTTACTGGGATCTTTTTGGAGTTTAGTGTGCTGGATTGGAGCTGCTGCAGTGAGTCTGGGGTTCCTTCTGCAGATTTTGATCTTAGGTGTGGTGGCACACAGTAAGTTAAGTGCAATACTCCCTCAGCAATGACCTAGAATACACATCAAAAACTCCTTTGAACAGTTGAAATGATTCTAAATGAACCTGTTTCAGATTCCTGGGCAATCAGGCATCAGGACTCAAAGTGTGAAAACATGAGCTACAGCCTCATAATAGACAGAGACAAGCTGAGGGATGAGCGAGATCAACTGAAGATTCAATCCAGAAACCTAACAGAAGAGATGGAGCTGCTGCAGAGCCAATGCAACGCTATGGCTGTGAGTCGAGATAAGCTACAAGAGGAGGTCAACAGGTTAAAACTCAGCAAAACAGGTAAGAAATGCACTCATGCAAGACATTTGAATGGTTTCTTGGATTCGCTGCTGTGGACAGGGAAATTTAACTTAGATTCAGAAAAGGGACTTGGATGGATCACTGGATGCTCGTGTACTCCATTAAGCACAAGGCATTAGAATATGAAATTCTAATTTGCAGCATTATTTCAGGCCACCTATTTACGGTTCTTGTTGGTCTTATTCATAGCTGAATCAAACTAGTCTTAATAGTCACGTATCGTCCATTTATCTTTATTTTAAACAGAATTAGCGAACACTTCCCCGTAAAGCTTTATACAGAAAACACAAACGCATTGAATCCAAAAAAGCAACTCTCAGAGTGAACGTTTTGTAAACAGCAGGATTATTGCACCAAAAGTAAAAGATTAATCTGTATAACTTTTAAATTCTAACTTCAGCTAGTGAATCTGTACAACACACTCAGGCTTTTTCCGCCATTACAGAAACGTAATCTTTTGGTATAAGTGACTTAGTCACTTAGGGAAATCAGTCTTGAGAAGCTGGCATAAAAACCTGTTCCCTTAAAACAATAGCACAGATATGGCACTTTCTTATTTCCTGTTGTTCTGGCTCTGTCCCTCGTGGTTGAATGCACTCATTGTACGTTGCTTTGGATAAAAGCGGGAGCGAAATGAAATGTAATGTTTCCTGCTGTTCAAAAAATCTGAGCTCATAAAAGAAAGCCATTTCTGGATCACAATTGCTGAAATACATGTGTGTCGTCTCTAGATGAACCTTGCAGCCAAGGATGGACATCCTTCAAAAGCAAGTGCTACTATTTCTCTGGTAAAGGACAGGCTGAGACCTGGGAAAACAGCAGAAAGTACTGTAAAGAAAGAGGAGCGGACCTGGTGATCATAACGACTCAAGAAGAGCTGGACTTCGTCAGCAGCATTTTTCCCGTAACCTGGATTGGTCTCTCTGACAAGGAGATGGAGGGGCGGTGGAAGTGGGTGGATGGGGCTGATCTGTTGGGTGATGAATTCTGGCAAATCGGGGAGCCCAATAATAATGAAAACGAAGAGCATTGTGCCGAGGTCTCACGTTCGGCAAAGAAATTTAATGACGTGCCTTGTAATAGGACATTTTCATGGGCATGTGAGGATTAAAGTCCGAGTGGCACTTTTTCTTTTTTAGTTGAGGCTATTTGGTCCCCAACATCTGATTTGTATTACTCTTACTTGTCTGAAAACAAATGCGGTTGTGGACAGTCTAATTACAACTGTTCCTTTTAGTGATGTCAAATACACTTTTACTCCAGAAATCAAATTAAACTCAAATAAATAAATTAATAAAGGTGATTCATCCATTGTTGATATTTCTAAGCAAACATTTTAATGGACATTGTTGTGTCGTCTAAATGTTTCTTTTACTGATACTAAAATGTAAATAATTGATTCACTGATTAATACATTGTTATATTTTTTTTGTTTGAACATGCTCTTCCTGATGTTCAATGTGACTGTGTGGCCTCCAGAGAACAACCAGGCTAACAGGCTTTTATACACAGAGAACTGTGACAAATATGTGCTATCAAAACTTCTTTAATTGTTGAAAAAAAATAAAACATGTTGGTCTTTTAAACAACTGTCTGGTGCGTGTTAGAATACAGGGGTCTCTTACCGGTCGTATTGATTCTCACAGCCAACCGCTAAAGTGAAGTAGCTCAGTGCCCTTTAAGAGGTTAAATCAACATTGGTACACAAACCCAGTCCTGGCTAAACATTAACTCCATGTAGCTTATAAGAAACTGCTCTCACCAACAGAATTAACATCACATCAATTTGATGCCACCATTAGATTAAGAAAAACTTTGTCCCCAAAAGAAAAAAAACGGCAAAAACTTTCAGTTCCATGTTTAGTACAAACAAGGTAAATGCTTCTGAGGAACTTGAAACCAGTTTGCTTCTCCCTTCAGCTGTTACTCTAACCTACAAGCTAATATTTACTTTTCAAACGGATTTGCTCATGAACTGGGAAAGTTAACCAATACAGGTGCTATTGTTTTTTATCTTCAGCGCGAAGTCAACTTCATCAGCAGTCATGACTTCTACAATTTGATTTATCGTCTCACTAATGTTTCTGATGTTATCTTCTCCGCTGGTAAATGCTGACACAGGCGGAAACCAAGTGCTCCAACCCAGGGAAAATGCATTTCCAGTTGGTGTTACAATTACCAGAAATACAAGATGAACATGAACCTTTTTTTGTGTCAAAGATGGCAGAGTTATTAAGAACTGGCATTTTGGGCCTGAAGAGAAGGAAAACGTTTCCACACCCTGAAGTCTTTAATAACCTATTTGATGTAGTACCTTTCAAACACGGTATAAGGTATATACATACAGCAGTGGTGAAGTACTATCATGCTAGTGTATAAAACAAACATTACAAGTAAATTAAAAGCACTTTAGTTCCACGTCATCACTGTTCCTCATGCGTTCCGTGAAAGGATTTTCTGGCTATCGGAGCTTCCGTGAGGTCATTGAACGCATCGTTGGTTTCCTGGGGAGTGGCACCTGCACCTGCACCTGTCCGACCTGTTGGAGGAGACACATGACTCCGCAGGAATTTCCTCCCCCTTCCTCCCGCTGCTCCCGTGCTTTGTCCAGCCGGAGTCTTTCCAGTGGGAGACGCAGGGTGAGAGCCAGAGGGAGAGGGGGAGTTACCGAGGAGAGAGACTCGGCTCGATATAAAGATGTCGGAACCAGCCGCTAACCCCGCTGCCACCTCGTTCCCAGCGCCGTATATCACGCTTCCTTTGGGACTGCCGGTGCTGAGAACTTATTCCGGAGTGCTCGTTTGTTTAGAAATAGTAAGTGCGTGTTTTAGATAAGCGTTTTCTAACGTCTAACTGCTGTTGTAGAAACGGGGGGACCCTGTGGTCGCTGTTAATAATCGATGACGTCACGTCGGCGTGACACTGTGAATTGCAGGCGATTATTAAGGCGGACTGCGATGTGCACGCTGCTCGGGCTGTGAACGTCGCGGACACGCTGATCGTATCTGTGATTGACTGAGTGGGTTCGTGGGTTGTTGTTTTTTAAAACTTGACAGCCAAAGCGTGGGCGAATGTCGCCTCGAGCAATGTCGAGCAGAATGCTTCATTTCTAGTGAAAGCCACGCTGTTTATTTGTGTTTTCAAGTTCATGATGATTTGACTACTGATCTACATGGCTGTTTCCACTTAAGCATGTTTAAAGCATTAACCTAACACACAGCGGGTGAGATATTTGGTAAGTGACAGAACAGCTTTTGCTTTGGTGTTTTAATCCATGCTGACTTCATACTTGCCCCTAAATCTCCCCCCACCCAAAAAAAAACCAATGTGTTTCTCTGATTCTGTCATCGATCGTAGAGCTTTTACCAGAAGACAACACCGGAGTGAAAGGCAGAATGTATTGTGTATCAGTTATTGTAAGCAACGTTTTTATATAATGTAAAACCTGACAAATTCCAATGCAGCCTCAGACGATGATGCATTTAGTCACAGCAGGCTGGTGCACCACAGCGGTTCCAGATGACCTAACCTTGTAGTAGTATTGAAACAGTATTCCAAGGCTTTTCATATCAGTGACGTATACAGATTTTAGATTTGACCTTTGTAGGCACAATACAGGCTACATGTTGACAGTTATAATACCCGCTGTCTTTCTAGTGCGTCATAAATTGTTGTTGTTTCTCCGTCCACTTCGGCATATTGACTAATGTGACTGTTTGATTCTATCCCCAGTTATTCGGTGGTCTAGTATGGATCCTGGTGGCGTCCTCCAGGGTACCCGTGCCTCTACTGCAGGGCTGGGTGATGTTTGTGTCGCTCACCACCTTCTTCCTCTCCTCCGTGTACCTCTCGCTCTTCATCACTGGCCTGGCTGACCGCATCAACACCGACTGGAATGTCTTGGTGAGATGTTGACATGTTGTTCAGATGTTGGCCTGCTCTTCTGTCCCACCCTTCATTCATGCTTCCGTCCTTCCATCTACCCATCTAGGTGTACGCACAGCTGTCTAGCTGTCTGTCTTTTTAGGGTTTTATCTGTCTAGGATTGACATGGATCTTTTTTTTAAAACAGACCCAGCCCTGAAATTTAAAGGGACTAAAATGATGTTTGCATCCAGGCTTATGTTACTGAAGAGCATTGCCTTCATTAACTGGTTAACCACGGATACCATTTGGGGACGGTAAAGCATGTCTCATGGTTACTTTAACGTGACGAAGCTTCCTTTCTTCACACGCGTTAATCAGGAACAGGGCCAAGTGTGGACACAGCAAAGCCAACAGAAACATAAAGGGAAGACTTTGCATTACAACATGTCAACTGTGGCGCCACAGATGTTTTATTTTTTGGCAATGCAGCGGCAAACTAAAAGGGAAGCTACAACAGTTAGTCACTTAATTGATTACCATAATGAACAGAAAATGTATCTACAACTGTTAAATCTCACAGTTTAAGTAATGTTTGAAGTATAAACATATGATGGCGCCAGACTTTGCGGTTTGGACTGTTTTGTCAAAACAGGATCTTTAACGGACTTATTGGTAAGATGTTTCTACTGTCCTCTGGTGTTTTATACAGCGGTTTAACTGGTTAGTTGATGGTCGATAGTAAATCGATATTAACCTACATGAAAATGACAAGTATAGATTTTCAAAAGAAACAACAAGACATACCGGTAACTATTAGTATCATTTGTTGAGCCTTTTCTATTGGAGTAGTAACTAGTGTGAGAGAATAGAACCTGTGCCACGTTGTGGTGTTACGGCACCGCGGTGTAGTCTGGGCCCTCAGACACAGCAGGCCCCGCCTCGGGCTCCGGGCCCTGCTCCCACGGGAGTAACCAGGCGCGTGTGGGGTTGGTTGTTTGTTCCCGGGCCGAACAATGGGTGACACGGATGATGAGCTCACACCAAAACGCAACAACGGCCTGCCTGTAGTGGCCCCGCCAGGCTCGCCCAGTCGACGGCACAAACCGCCATTAATCCCCCTGTGACTCCCTGACACTCCCTCTCTCTCCCCCGCTGCTATTTAATTAGTCTCCGTTCTTCCTTAATAGGGTGATTTCCCAATAACTTTGGCCCTTTTTGCCGTGTTTGTTGTGACTACCATGTTGTGCTTTGTAATTAATGTAAACACTTCATGTTTTGACAAATTAGCCTAATTTGTTATGTGAGTCGGGAAGGCTGCAGAGGTCAGGGCATAGTTTGATAGTTGTCCAATGGGACAAAACCCACGTGTTGTGCACTTTTTGTTCCCATCTATTGTACCCGCTTGGACTTTTTAGTATTTATTTCTGATGCATTCTCTCCTCTTCTTTTCCCTCAGGATGTGGTCTACCATTTTTGGGCTTTGCTCTTCTACTTTGCTGCCTTTGTGTTGGAGGCAGCAACTACAGCAGCTAATGGAGGAGCCCGCATCAAGGCGCTGCCCAACAGCACTGAAACGGTCCTGTGTATAACCCAACCTCGGGGCAATATATTCACCGTGCTGAATGAGAGGCAATATGGTATTAATGTTGCAGCCACGGTGAGCGTTTTATATCTTCTTAAATCAACTCTGTAGGGTAATGTGTGCACAGCTTGTGCACTCACTACTATTTGCACAATATCAAACTATTTTGTTGACCTTTTTTGCTGAGGTTGGGTAGTTCCTCCAAAATTAATGAAAATAATATAATAGTTATCATGTTATAACTTTAGGTGTATTCATTATCATTTTTAATTATAAAACTAATATCATCTGACATCATTCTTGTTACAATTGTTTGAGGCTCTTGTCAGAGAAACAACTCTGTCGACTCATTTACATGAACATCGTACCATTTCTGCTCTCGAGACACTTTTATCTTGTTTGGACTTTAATTTTTGCATGCACCTTTCGAATGATAAAGACCATAAATGTCCTAACGGGTACGCTTTTAGATAGAACTGCCGGGTGCTTAATGCAGTACGTTGGGTAGGATATGTAAGATCACGTGAGTTTCCAGTAGGTCTTCTTAGCAGTAGGTTGGAATAAGAAAGACTCTCACGTTAGTTTTATAAAGTTTCATTTAGCACTTGTAAGTCAAATTGACTGGGTTTGTCTGACCAATTTTTAATGTTTTCATGCCGTCTCTCCTTTTGTCTGTTTGTCCCAGATATTTGCATTTGTGGTGACAATATGCTACGGCTGCAGCATGGCGATGGGCTTCAAGAGGTGGAGGATGTAACCTCGCAACCCAGCAACAAACTAGTTTAGTAACCGCTTCATAACTTAACTAAAGTCCTTTTATCCAGCTCCGCTCAGTGCACCGTTTCTTCCCAAAACTAACATCCTCCGAGGAAAAAATCGAGATGACAAGATTTCTGAACAATAGTATTTGTGCATCTTCTTCTGTGCTATCGATATGTCTGGGCGGTCAGAGACATGGCTGTTCAAGGTGTTTCGAGGGACGGGGTTAAAGAAGAGCGGTTTTAGTTGCGTATACTGTACCGTGAATGTAAAAAGATATACAGGGATCATTTTTCAGTCCACTTGGGTGATACTACAATTTCCTGAACACTGACCGTTTCTAAAAAATACAAAAGCATGCCTATGAATGCTGCTTACAGGTTATGTACAGCCGTACATCCTCATTGCAGGGAATATATCCCCTCTCCCAGCACAAGAGTCATGCTGTATCTCTGTATGCTGCTTCTGGGTTTCGCACAGCAGAAAACGAACGTGATAATGGCATTTGTCTGGTTACCTTGGTGCTAAGGAGCTGTTAACACACTCTAGTTTTAACACGCCTGACTGTGATTACATGCTTTCGTGGCCACTATTTATAATGTGAGTGGATCTGATATTTAAATTTCAACATTGTAATTTCTTTTCGTGGAGCTTTTTGTCAAATTGTTTTATTGGCCATAGCGTGTTTTCAACAGTATTTTACATTCCCAGTCCACATTATTCACACAACAATATCGGCTACTGTTTAAACTTGCTGAGTGCTGTCCTGTGTTGCTAACACCATGTGAGTTACTGAATAGGTTTGTCATACGGGAGTTCTACTTCAAACTAATCGTCTAATCAATCACCGATAGAGTAGCTTTTTGTCAACTACTATACCGGAAACCGTGATAATTATCTATTAATGGATCATTTAAGTTGTGTTGTTTGAATGTGTGTAGAGTTTGATCCTAATTGTAATTCTGTTAAGGCATCATAACGTTCCAAAATCAATAACTATCTTGCTACATGATTTAGTAGTTAATATATGGTGTTTAATTTGTGTTGGCATCAGGCTATTAAATGTTAATTATATAAAAATTGTTTGTTTTTACACCGGCTGCCTGTTTGTTGGTTTTTGCCAATTTAAATATCTTTCTTTGAGAACTACAGAAATAAAGGTTTTGAAGTGAAAAGCTCGTTTTCTGCCAGTGTCATTCTTATACGTCACCTAATACAAAAATTGCAATTCCTACACATATGTGAGAGCAGAGTGTCCAGCGATATGCCGGTTCACAGGCAGTATGGATTCCCCACAGGATTCCTCAGGTTGCACAATTCAAAGACATGACCAAGCAAACAATGACTGTTTGTTTATCTGTGAGAGTAAAACAAGTGGCCCTGTATTAGACTCCGATGAGGACTGAACCGTAGACCAGATATAACAAGAGCCGAGTTCACGATTTATTTTAATTGCATCTATTGCAGATGTTTTGACCCATTTGAACTGTTTACAACCTACACCTGAAGAGGGTGTAAGTTTACTTGTGTATGAAATCAATTCTGGGGATAACCAACATATTCTTACGTATCGTGAAACATTTCACTGGGATACCTGGAGTGAAGATTGATAAATGTTCACGACACAGCAGATAATTGAGTTAAGCAATTAATATTTGACATAAGACGTTATTTACCCAGGCTGTGCACAGGCTCTCTGCACAGACCAAATTGAGTTGAAGCGTTTGTTTGGCTGATGCTGCAGACTTTGATGTAGGTCAGCTTAAGTAACGTTTGCATATCTTATATATTTCAACACACTAGTAATTCAATGTTTTGTTTGATATGTCAGCCACTAGATGTCGCCCGTTATCCTCAACAGCTCACCATGTCCATGTCCATTCGTATTATATTTACAATAAACAATGAAAGTTCGGCATCATCAAGAAAAAAAGTGGGACAGATTATGCTGGAATGATGCACCACTCACACTAATAAAGTGAGACAAAAGACGCAGAGAATAAAAAAAACTGCTTCATTCTCACAAAAGCCATGTCTGCTTCTAAAGAGCCGTGGTTCAAACATCCATCCATTGTGTAATCACGGTGTTGTGCAGTTCAATGCTGCCGGATGAATATTGACCTGTGAACTCGCTTTACTTCCCCTGCGCTCTTTCGCCAGTGCTCATCTTCATCGGCCGTCATCCTGGAGTCAGGTCAGAACCGAATAGTACCGGACGGGTGGCGTGTTTTCCTTCACAATAAGAAACACCAAGATGTCCAGTGTCAAACCATTTGAAGCTTTACTTTGATTCATATTGCATTTAAACGGACCACACTGCTGTTTGTGTGTTGTAATAGAATGGGTCAAATGTTTTTGGACACAACGCCCCTTTACCCCTATTTTTACTTATTCAAGCCAAATACCTATTTAAACTCATTTTACACTTCAATTGCATTACAGGGAGTGATTGATTGAAGACATCTTTAAAGCCGTCGTATAAATGAAACCTTTATTTTGGTTTAAAACAATAAACCGGAAGTGGGTTCTGTTCCGTTTATTCACGCACGCTTGACGCGTGTTTGCAGACTCGATTTCCCCCCCCCCCCCCTCTCTCTCTCTCTCCCTCTCTCTGTCTGTCCGTGTTGAGAGAGCAGTAAGGAAACCCTGAGTGTCCCCGTTTACCTGTCAACACACGGAATAACGCTACGAGTCCAGCGCTGGAAATGTTCCTAGTTTCGACCAGCAAACTGCAACATTTTATTTAGTCGTCCCAGCCATGTGTGTGTACGGGACGGCTCGCAGGGGAGAGGGGGATTTAAATGTCTCTTTCGTCCCAACAACCCTCTTTATGATTTGAACTAAACGGTGCACGGGAGCAGAGTTGCGTTTCGAGTGTTCGGCCGAGCTAAACAGCGAGAGAACAGAATATTTCTGCACGACTTTTTTTATTATTCTTTTTTTGGGGGGGGGGGGGGAGTGTTTGGTTTTCCTGAATAGCGGCGGCTGGCCGAGTGAAAAAGCGGCTCACCGAGTCGGGGTGGGGGGGCTTGGCCGCTGGGATCGCTCCTGCAAAAATGGAGGCTGTTATGGAGAAGGAATGCAGCGCGCTCGGAGGACTCTTCCAAACCCTCATCGGAGACATGAAGGTGAGCCGGAGAGTTGAACTTTTTCAACACGCCTTATCTCATCCGAAAGCAGTTCATGCACGAACTAACGTGAGCTACCCCCCCCCCCCAAACTTCCCCCCCCACCCGGGGGTTACTGATGGGGGAGGGGGCAGGTGACCGGGAGAACACCGGTTGTCCGGCGGCGCGCGTCCCCCCCCCCCGGACAACGTGAACGCTCATCGGGTCCTTGAACGCGAGACGCGCTTCAGAGCTTCTGAACGCAACCTGGGAAGTTTGCCTCCGACCTCTTTTATTGTTTTGTTAAAGACGATAACAAAAAAAGGAGTGACTTTAATGTTCTTTTGAGGGGGTGTTTATGATGGCTAGGTTCGCTTTGCTATATTGCACACTAATAAAAAATAAATAAAAAGCTAATCTAATAAGCGGTTGTTCCCGTTTGAACCCCGGATGCACCCTCCGTCTCTCCAGCCGATCTCAACCCGCTGTTACCTCAGCGGTGAGGCGACGCTTCGCACTGTTTTCCAGCTGTCGGAAGGTGACTTGCCCGGAGGAATCCCGGGAATGTAGCTGTCAGGGTAGAAGATGACCCGCGCGGTCTGAAGGCTTTGACGTGCACGGGGTCAAATATCCCGCCACCGGGTCTACTGGGTTCAGGAAGTTTGTTATGAATACTCCTCCAGACATTCAACACTTCTCTGCATCCCATGTCTCACTTGACTGGGTAGTCATGTCTCCTTCCCCCCCCCTCACCCCCTCCCTCTCTGTTTTCTGTCAGGTAACTATGCTGCCAGAACACACGGGGCAAATAAACAAATGATGAGTGTATTACCTTTGTCTGTACGTAAGCCACACTCAGTAGTGTCTTTCATTTCACGGCGCCACAGACTGGGTGGGGGACATGGGGGCGGGTTGTGTGCTCAAATATGAAGTGGCGGCTCACTAAAGCCAAGCTGTCAACAAGAGGAGCAAGAAATGCAGAGAAACCTCATTCGTCATCGGCGCTGGAGGGTTTGATAGCTGCTGTTGATGGCCACCACACACACACACACACACACACACACACACACACACACACACACACACACACACACACACACACACACACACACACACACACACACACACACACACACAGAAGGGGAGGGAGTTGGACTGTGTGAGGCGAGTCGGTGGCTGGACGTAATGTTCGACAGCATCACGTGACATTCCTCAGACCCCCGGCAGTAGTAGCACGTCGGTGACAAGTATGTGCTCGTGCGATGTGCATCACATCATCTGGTGCCGTGTTTCTACGGCGAGCGCATTAAGCCGCTTGTTCTCTGCGATGGTTTCCATCGAAAAAGGCCCTTCAACTATTTTCAGCCCGGGACCTGAATGAGGTAAATCTAAATGTAAATGGAGTCCCGTGGGGAACCAGGCCCATTGTACCACCAGTCAGTGCTCTGGTTGTGCGGGGATCTTTCCGAAAGAGACGAGTGACCCATTTTGTAACCTCAATCACAAGCAGGATACAACCGTATCTCTTCTATTCTCCCCATAAACAGATTACGTTGAATTAAGAAACATGTCAAACAGGAGGGCAGCAACATGAAAGCTGGCTGGCAAAATGTAAAATTTGGACTAAACGTCATGCTTTTCATTTTCTTCACACCTTCGTTAAACAATTTCACATCCAATAGCTTAAACTTTTGGATTCCCTCATGTCTAGTGGCAGCAAGATGGAATAAACAATATTATTTTTGAGTGATAGACTTGGTACCATGCATGTTAAAGGCTGAGCATCGGGTTTGTTCTGTTTGGCCCTGCAGGTGAGTTTTGGTGTCATGTTGGTTGGACAGTTAACTGACATGTAACTGTGGGAGGGTTGAAATGTGTTCTGACGATTATTAACCCGGTTTTGTGTCTCTCTCCCCCCCCCCAACAGAGCAGCTACCCTATTTGGGAGGATTTTATCACCAAGGCTGGCAAACTGCAGTCCCAGCTCAGGTGAGACATGCGTCCTTACTTTAAACATATTTTGTGCTCTATTTTGACTTTTACGTGAGATGTCAGTCAATTTCCCCCGTGAAGACGTTTTAAGACGGCGCGTGTCTCTGGACTGACAAGCAATGACAATCAACACAAAAGCCTAATCTCTTGACAATACTGTCCAGGGGTCAGTATGTGTCCTCTCCCCCATTTAGTCTTCTTCAAGCCTGATTTACTTAGTATTTCAAATGCTGTTAATTTGCACACCTCCTGCCAAAGATTATTCCAAGTCTTCTGGTAACAATGGGTGCCGATCCCAGCCACCTCCCCTAGTTGGTTTTAAGTGGCCACATGTCAGGAGACAAACAATTTATGACAGCGGAGATAAAAGCTTATTGTCCAGCTAGTACTGTAAATACGGACGTCCTGCGGCCCGAATTATTTTTTGATTAACAACGCATGGCAGCTCTCTGGTCGTTCAAGTGTCCACGTGTCCTGAGACGGACTCAAAGTGGCAGTTGGATAAAGGCCCAGGGATTAAAGAATAATTTCCAGGGGCCACTCAGTGTCCCATTCTCCCCTTAAAGCTGATTAATGGTGAAATGTTATTCAAGTGTCTCCTTCATGCAGAGGTTAAATATGTGACCCTGTCATGCTAAAGCTCAGGGGAGTATTTGTAGCCTTGTTGCTAATGACTTGCAGTACGACGGCTGTGTGTCGGGGCACCAGGGCAATGACAAAAGAACACGTCTGTTGTAAGTGTACAGGGGAAAGGTTTGACCCAACAAACTGTTTGTTTTCCATTATTACTCCGCATTAATATATGTTTCTAGTAGAAAATATTCTTGGTATCATGTCTCATCTTCCTTGTTTTGTAGTGTATACATGTTGTATGTTTACGGTTTTCCACACATCGGCAAATCAGATTCCTTGTATATGCACCGTCAAACGGTTCTGATTCTGAGGAGTTGGGTGTCATTCAGTTAGAAGTATTCAAGGTTAGCATCTTCTGCTTGACTGAGGACTAACATGTTTAAGCCCGGTCATTTTGCTAATTTACCAATGTTCCACCAAAGCACAGGTAAATTATTACAAACTAAATGAAATATTTTTTTTAAATGTGTTGGTAGAAGCGTGCAACTGTCTTCCTCCACACCCAAAATACCCCTTCAACTACAACACAACCCAAACCCAACGACCTCTATAATCTGCTTGGGGACTAGGCTCCATAGAAGGGCAGACACACACACACACACACACACACGCACAACTCCCACACAGGAACAGAGTAAAATACAAACACACCCGGCTTCCATCCTCCGGCCGAGATAAGTGACTCTCCAGCAGTGGTAGCGGCATACGTCTGTGTGTCTAATGACGTCCTAAAGCAGCCTACTCTGTAATTTTGACCCTCTGCTCCCCTCTCACAAAGCAACTAGGATATCAACCAATTACAGTGCTGCGCCTGTTCTGTCTTTTTTCCTTTGGTTGAATATGGTGGTGGGGGGAGGAGGGGGTTGCCCACTCTAGGCAACCAGCACACACACACACACACACACACACACACACACACACACACTTAGCAGCTTTGAAGAAAGAGGTCATGGTGGAATAGAGGCTAGCTGATTTCTAATCACAGTCCCCTTTGGACTTGTCAGTGTTTGGTCTGTTTAGTGCATCGTGGTTGATGCAGCTGCAGAACTCGAGGCCTCTCGCTGAAAAACAGACCACCTCAAAACTTTAAAACCAGCTGATGAACTGTGTGGTTACACAACTTACTTTGACTCCACTATAGGAGCCCTAGTAGTTGAGGCGGTAAATGTAGAAGTAGGCGGATGCATGGGAAGAACGTACGGGGTGAACATGCATGCTTTTAGACAAAGCTTCACGTTATCTCTGTCACCAGTCTTTGTGTGTTGTGTCAAACGAAGTGCGTTAAAGACAACCTCCTTCTATGATTCAGATTTACTGCCGTCACATTCCACTTTCTGTTGATCTATGAATAGATGGAGGCAGCAGTGCTGAATATATCATTGTTAGAAATAGCAATGCGCTGCACTAGCCCAGGGTCTACGGGGAGTTTATATTGGCTTGGCCAAAGCCTTGCGGAATAGATGTAAAAGTGTGTGCGTTGACCCCGGGACAGAGGCGTTTTTGACATTTTTAAGGCCAAGGGCTACAGGCAGATCCTTGTTGGAGCTCTTTCACAGACACAGAAGTGCTTGGGGAGGGTTTAGCTGACTGTCGTAGCCAAAAATAAAAAATGAATTATTCTGCCGTTTGGTGCAACTTAATTTTCATTTAAAAATCGACAGGTTACCTAATTTCACTGTCAACTGAGCAAGTCCATTTAAAAAAAGATTCAGAAACATTTCATTCTGCAAGACCATAATGTTTCCATTCATGCTGAGATCTTTTCCAAGTTTCACTGGGGATTGATTTTTTTTTTCATGCGGTGAACTAGTTTATTAGTTTGGCGTTTCATCTTGTAGAAGAATGGAGCATGTTGCAGTAGATGGTTATGGCTTGTAATTGTAAACTTCTGCTCGTTGTACTTCAGGGCATCGCGGCCGCTTGTACTAAAGGTTTGCTTCTCTTATAACTACTTCCCACAACAAACCTGTCTCGGATGAAAACAGTAACCTTGACTGGACGAGACTTTGCCGCTAGTGCTTCTCAAATATTATCCACCAACCGGTGTGCACTTGGTGTATATTAGGGGAGACGATATCGGCTGAAGGTTGCGCTGTGCTTTAAATAGAACGGAATTTGTGTCTGGCTGTGTGCATGTTTCTTTTTTCCATTTGCAGAACACACCCTACGGTCTTCTGATCAGCTCTACAACAACACAGCACCCATCACTTTTTAAAGAGATCCATTATTAACTGAGTGCTAAGACTTGGCGGTCGCTCAAACCAGAAGAATAACATTAGTCAGTTTTAGGAGCACGTCATAATCGGAGTAAACGTTCAGTCTATTTCAATTCCTTAGGAAAGTCATTTTGAGAGTGCACAACTCGGTGGCTCAGTGGTTCTGGGTTGGAACCCAAAGGGGGCTCAGCTCCAGATCCCTTTGAAGCGTGTAGGGTGGAACCCCGACCGATGTTCCCCCGACGCCTCACGTGTGCAGTAGAACTCCCCCCAAGATCTGTACACAGTTTGATGTCAAACTGAAACGCTTCCCCAGTGAGGATAGAGGTTGCAGCTGTCTTAACATAATAAGTAAAAAGCTCCGTAAACCCACAGAAACACGTGTGATGGTGCTAGAATTTGAAACACTTTTGTTCCATGTGCAGGTCACTCTTAAGAAACGGTACCGACCCGTGTTCAGTTATCTGTTTGACTAGTGTTCACGTATGAGGGCTAGAACCATTTTTGTGTCTTTATTTGTTTTTTTTTGCATGCATGCAATGACTGTTGCATTGTCTCGGTTGCTGACATCAAGTATCGCACGTGCACACACACACACTCTCCATACCTGCTTCTCCTCTTAATCATGAGAGCCCTGATGTTTCTTAAGTAGGTGAGCTGGTATTTGCCAGTTAACCAGTCAGCCGGCCCGCCAATGCGGCGACCTGTTGCTCGGTCAGGCAGCCTGAGAGGCAATCAGGGTGGATACCAGCAGTATAGTCTCTATAATGAGTAAAGCAGAACCTAATCCCACATCATGTTTCCACAACCGTTTTTAATGAGGGAGTGAATTTAGCCCTTGTATTCAGTCTGTTATGCACACGCATCATATTATACTGCTTGGTAAACCATACTAAAGCACAGCCGCGGGTGTGATCCCCCTTCTCCCTTTCAGATCAACCGGGCAGATCCTTTCGTTGACCTGTGAGAGCTGCAAACTCGACTCAAGATTCCGGCGGTAGATTTAGACATTCCTCACACAGCGGGCCGCGTCTAAGTTTGAGCCCACTCGCGCACACGCAGGGAATACACACACTTTCATACATACGTCCAATTTCGATTGTAAACTTACTAATCAAAAATGTAGCACAGATGTGCACTCCAGTTGTTGCAGTCGATCAGCCACCTGTGCTTATTTTACTGTTTGGCTGAATCAAAGTAGTGCTTCTGCCGTCACTACACCATGTTTTCCTATTTGGTGTGCGGTTTTGTATTTTTACAAAAAACACGTTGCCGTTTATGTTTTTTCTTCAGCACAATGTGGCGTATTTGCTTCCATGCCTGACCTCTGTTTCTACTCTCCTTCTCCCAGGGCGACGGTGGTTGCTGTGGCGGCGTTCCTGGATGCCTTTCAGAAAGTGGCGGACCTGGCTACCAACTCACGAGGTAGGAACACGCTCGCAGATTTACAGGCCTGAGTGTACGACCAGCCCCCCCCCCCCCCCCCCCCCCCTTACTGCGGAACCGTCCCACTGTCTCCCAAAAGAAATCCGTGTCATTGTGGCGCGCTGCTGAAAGGGTTCACTGGTTTACCTCTGCACCTCCGTGTCAGTATGCGTCCGTGCTAGTCCAGCCCCCCCCCCCCACCTCCCCTCCCCTCTCCCACTGTGCCGAGACGGTTTGGTGGGTTGTTTGCTTTATCGTGTGGGTAGTAAATCCGTCACTGGGCTGTTTCCAAGCCCCGCTGCTGGCTTTTGTCTTCAAACTTCTGCCCGCGCCCCACCCCCACATCTACCCCTGCGTATCTACATCTGGACTCTCCTGTAGAGTCTGCTCCCAGTCTGCGTGCGTATGAGGGAGAAAGCGAGGGATTGAGAGACCCCATCCCTCCCTTAGCTCTTGACACCTCCTACTGCGCCTCATGCTATTAATAGGAGGGAACTGAGACAGGCACACACATTCATCGGCTCACCTACAGTAGAGACACGTAGAGGGGAGACAGATGGGGGAGCAGAGGGAGTCATAAGTCCTCTGGCTCCCTCCCTGCAGTGTAACACACACACACAGTGTGGATGTCTAATGCCGAGGAGTCAGAGTCACTCAGCTGAGGAGCGTCATCTCTCCTCTGCTCTCTCGCCACTTTCTCTCGCAAAGCGCTGTACGTGTCTTCGGTCGGCAGCTTGCATTACACCATTTTGCTTTGTGTTGCTTCGCTGTACACACTGTGTCAGAGATGGATGACCTGTACACCCGATAAGCGCACCAGGGTAATATAGTGACTCTTTATTACCAGGATTCTAGATTCTGTTTTTTTATGGTCCAGTTGTATATCTTTGCATGTTCCTCAAATGTTTGTATCAAACCCTGTTGCGTGCCAGAGGTGGCAAGATATCAGCTTATGTGTGTGTGTGTGTGTGTGTGTGTGTGTGTGCGGCCGCTCGTGTCAGCGGGTTTGACGTTGAAGAGTATCTGCATGGTTTCTGTATCTACATCAGATAAAGGCTCGCACTGACAGACTCTACATTTTCACTTTGCTAATCACGATCGGCCAAAGGTGGCCGGTTGCACAGCGTACAAAGATGGTGACGTCTTCCCTTCGTCTTTTCTATCTCCCCCATCTTCTTTCCTCGTGTCATCTTGTGTTCCTACAAGTCCTAACCAGCTTCCTGCAGCCATCGCCACGGTAACGGCATGGAAATCATGTGTTTGTTCATCAAAGGTGTGTGTGTGTGTGTGTCTGTGTGCTTAAGTAAGAAAGGAAACCGCCCTTTATCTCCCAGCCACGACACCATGAAGACCACCAACTGTTAATGTTCTGCCAGAACAATAATATTAATGAACGCACACAAACATAAAAGTAACCTGAGATTTGACCGAGCACCTATTAAAGGTTGTTTAGTCTCTTAATCGGGAGAACAAGGCTTCCGGCTGCCTTTTATAATCGGTTGTCCTACTGCAGTGATGGTAGCTCATAAAAAAAGGTACGGGCGGATCACTTGACTCAGCAGACTTTGATGGGGGACAGTAGTTATGTTTATTGGTGTGGAGATGAAAGTTACCAGGGGATCCTTTCGTCCGTGTTATCACTGAAGCAGCGCGATCAGAAGCTTGAAAGACACATTAACAGAAGTCTTTTCTAAACTTGAACCTCGGACCGCAATGGGCGTGTTCTCATCCAACCATTTAAATAGCCTATTAATTCCTTTTAACTTCCATTATAGTCCATTTAAGTTTGGCTCACTTGCCAATCCCACTAAAACCTGTACTATAAACCACTATTTTACAACGGCAGGTAACACAAGACCTGAGGCATAGACAATGCATTAGATGTTCTTACATTTCATACATTTCCAGTCATATTACCAACTCAATATGAAATTTCCATTTGTAATTCATAAAAAGTCGATTAAATCTTCCTGGCCAGAATCATTTTCTCCACTTAAATGAAATTCGAATGTAGGTCAAAGTGTTTCAGTGTTGACAAGCTGTTTGAGTTGCTGCCTCATTCCCGCTCAGCAGCCGTGGAAGTTGTATTTAAACATTGTTATTTCCTTGTTTAACCGTTGCTATGAACCGAATGTCGTCTGTTATTTCAGGTAAATATATTAGTCCTAACAAATAGCGTACAATGCTGTTTTTTCTCCGTCATGTATACAAGCCATTAAACTAAATCCATCACAAAGGAATCATTATAAACTTAACACCAATTCATGATATCTTTCGGTTTATTTCCGTTTTCTAAATCATGGTGGAAAACCTGTGTGACCGCTACAGTTGTGGTTGGTTCATGTAAAACACACCAGGGTTGTGAAACAATATCCCAACACAAACACCAGCGAATGCTCATTGCGTGAGCTAATCGCTGTGTTGTAGTAAAAACTGACTGACTTGGAAACGGTCCCGCAGAAGTCTGTAGCTTCATTTAATTATCAGCGGTTGCAGGATGTTTGTATTTCTGCAATTACCTTACCTCGGTCAACCTTTTTTTTAACTGATGTATTCATGAATATGAACAAAGGAGAACAATACAGGGGATTACATGTGACAGGTCAAAAATACCCAATTACAGGTTTGGTACGGCTGGAAATAAACTGAGGATTAACACGCAAGGATTAGTTTGTATTACCAAAATAAACTCTTGAGTGACTATGCTTCTCTTCATTGTCACGATTTGTGAAGGTAAAGTCCAGCTTTCCGCAGTTGAATGAAATAAAAAAAAACAGACGGCCAAGTGGAGAAAGTTCAAGGAGATGTTGACCAGTATTTTTTGGGGTAAAGTACATTGAAGTGTGCTTCGCCATCTCCCACTGCCCCTCATCTTGACTTTCCAGCTGTGTTTTGAACCTGCATTTTATTTTTTCCTTCATATGTTTACTTAGAAATCATTTGTTCAGTCCATTCTTAGTACTTCCAGGGTTAAGTGTGCTTATTCATAATTTCATAATTTTTGTCATGTATCATACCAACGTGGGGATTTCTTCATACAATCTTTGCAGCTTTGTTTATTTTAGCTCCGCATGGTGATCGCTGACATCTCCATGTATGCTGTACACTGATCGACTTGCTTTGTCTGTCAATAGACCCTCTCAGGAGCACACGAGCACATTAACGACAAACAATAACTCGTGGACATGTTGAATTCTAAGTGCTCTTGCCTGCAGCTATTCTTGTGACTGAACATTGTTTGCTGTCTTCACACTGATCTTCTCACTCAATAACTGAAAGACACTCATCAAAATATTATTTATAGTCTTTCATTTTAGTTCATTTTAAGTGCTCCTTCCTTTTCCTCGTTCTCTCTTCCCACTTTTTGCAGCTCTATCTTCTCTTCCTTTCTATGGGCCATTTTTTCTTTGACCTTTTTACTCTGTCGGCTGAACTTGTTCACAAAGGTGAACCCATTTCACAAGACCTACGCCTGTATCCATGTGTTGTTGGCACCAACAAACACCGGGGTGCTCACAGAGTTGCTCGCCCGCATGCAGAGCGGCAGTGTTTGCTGTAATAGGTCAAATGCTTATTTGATTTTAAAAGTCACGTGATTAAACATATTTCAGGCACAGCCTTGATAGAACATCAGGCTTCATGGAACAGTGTCCAGGAGACTGATAAACAAGCCAATAGCAGGAGTTTCTGTGAATTTGCTGAAAGAATTTGAAGGGATTTCTAGTTACATCACAATTCAGTTGGCTTTCAGATGAACGTGTTTATAATTTAATCAAAACGTTCCCGGGTCCAGACGTGGACAACGACCCTGCGACCCGGGTCTGATTCTCTAATGGATACGACGTTGTTAAAAGTGATGCACTTGTTGAGCAGAGTTTCTGTATTTAAAACATGATCTTAAATCAGGGTGCACACAATATAGCTTTTTTTTCACCAGAGAATAAACCAACTCTTCTAACCATTGATGGAATCGGTTAATCAGTCTTAGTAAGTAAAAGAGGCAGCTCACTTTGAGTCACATCACATTCTGTCAGTAATCTATTACTTTTACCTTCCCTGCTCGCTAACTAAGCAGTGTAGGAAACGTTGAACATGGACTTGCTACCGGTTACAAACTTAGGTAGAAAAGAGCTATATGCTATATTGGCTCTCCAAAGGATGCCTGCCTTTTTTTGGACGGCGTAATGCTTACCGTGAAAATTAAAACTAAAATTGACCAAAATCCATTTTTTATATACTAAGAATTTAGCCTGATGAAACACAATTAAAGAAAATCAAACGATATTACAATATAAGAGAAGATGTTTTGCGTTCAGCTCTTTTTGTTGTGCTGTGACAAAGCCCGGCTGTCTGAACCATATTATCTCCCTCTGAAAACTTGAAACTGTGGCCGTCAGTGGTGAAGAATGAGACAAAGCCCTATTGAATCTGCACAGAGGGAACAAACGCAGATGAACACAGAAGGCAGAAAGAATAATTTGTTCGCTTGTTTTCCGTCTGGTGCCGTTTCATTTTCCATGTGGACCCCCCTCTCCTCCTCTCCTCTGTACCAAACTATACGGTTGTCATAATATCCTTTTGCGTATGAGGGCTTTGTGTATGTGTCTGCTGCATCTCTTTTTTTCAGCTTGTGTCTCCGTCAGTCTCTGTGTGTGTGTGTGTGTGTGTGTGTGTGTGTGTGTTTGCACTACGGCTCCGTCGTTGCGGTATTCCATTCACCGCGTGAGGGTGACCCGAGTGGGTGAGCGCGGAGACGTCTTTCTAGTCCGCCACGGTGAAACAGCTGACGGGCAACCAGGCTGCCCAGCGAGATGAGGTCATTCCACCACGGACCGGACGAAGAGAGCAGATGTTAAAAATAACACGGCGATGCAATTCTGACTCTTTCCAAGAAGTGTGTATCTTTGGACCAGAAGCGGACGTGAATTAAATAAGACCCATGTTCTCGATGGTTGTGTTTTTCCGATGGCGGCTACAATGACCGCCCCCCCGGTTACTAG